TTCGGTGCCTGGAAAAATCGATAGGGGTTTATTCGAGACATGCCTCGGTATGACTTTGCAAATGTGGAAGTTCAGTTAGTAGGTGCGTCAATGGCATTACATAATTATATACGGCGAAACACAGGTAATCCAACAACTGTTCACCCAATCTGTGACGAGGAAGAGGCTATGACAATAGTAAATGCCATACCGGAGGTTGAACATGACGAGAATGATCTAATGGTTGGGGATGAGGACCCGCACATAGCATTGGTGCGCCTTCGCATACGCGACAAATTATGTTACATGCACAACAACGGAATGTTAGGAAATATATAAAGTATGTCAAATTTTCATGGGGTTGTAACATTGGTAATACACGTGGAACAGACTGCATTCAAATATATTATCATGTATCAGTAGAATGTGTTTACATGGGAATATACCCCATTTCTGTTGGTGACGTGCCTCACTTTGACAAACCAAAAACCACATAAAAAAGCCTTTTCGAAAAAGAAAATAAGGTGAAACAAATAAGAAAAATAAAAATAAAAAGCTATTACAAAAATTATCATGTGCGACGTCAATTAAAAACATAAAAACAGAAGTTGAAAACCACAAAAAAACCAAAACAGACCTTTGTTTTTGTCATGTACCACGACAATATATGATTTTTCACATCATTTTAAATAAATGGCATAAAAAAACGTTTTTCCAAAAAAAACAAACAAATTAAAAACAAAGTAAAAAATTCATAACAATATGATTAGGAATAACCATGAATTACCAGTTGCCACATAATTTAAAAATAAGAAAAATACAAAAAAAATCATTTCTGAAAACTAAAAACAAATTAATGTATACAAATATAAAAAAATAACAAAAACGTAAAAGGGGAAAAAAAAGAACTACAAAAATACGCTTCATCCAAAAAAAAATAAAAAAACAAAAATTACCATTTGCCATGTAATTTACAAATAAATAAAACACATGAAAACCCATTTTTGAATATAAAAACAAATTAATGTGTACAAATTAAAAAATGACCAAAACGTAAATAAAAAAAAATATTGAGAAAAATACGCCTCATTCAAAAATATTTTTTTAAAAAAACATAAAAACGAAAATTACCATTCGCGACGTAATTTAGAAATAAATAAAACACATGAAAAATCATTTTTGAGAAATAAAAAGAAGTTATTGTATATCAATAAAAAAAACATAAATTAAAGAACAAGAACTAATTAATGTATAAAAAAAGAAAAATGACAAAAAAATCTAAATTAAAAAAAAAAAACATCAAAATACGCCAAATCCAAACCCAAAAGAAAAAAAAAACCAAAAAAAAAATGTTCAAACAAAAACATAAAAAGGACAATTACCATGCGTGACGTAATTTAAAAATAAATAAAACACATTAAAATCTATTTTTGAAAAATAAAAAAAAATTTATTGTATATGAATAAAAAAAAGGAAAAAAACATAAATTAAATAACAAGAACTAATTAATGCGTAAAAAAAGAAAAATGACAAAAAAAAAAAAAACAAAAACATCAAAATACAGCAAATCCAACCCAAAAGAAAAAAAAAAATTGTTCAAACAATTTCGGTCCAACTACGGTGCTAATGTGGATGACCATTCAAAGGTGAGTTACCATGCAAAACACATGTCATGGACAGTTTGATAATTTATCATAAAGACACCTCATCAAAAAGTCAAAAAGCTAAAAAAGTTATAAGTCCTTCCCAAACTACGCTTTTTAGCCCCAGACTAAAATAGCTAAAAAAGTCAAAAAGCCAACTCACTTCCCAAATGGAGGGATAATAAAACATGATGGTTTTCAAAAATATCTAAGAGATACAATTTGTTAAAAAGTATATATTGAATTACTTAAAAATTGAACGACTGGTATTGTTTTATTTAAAATAAAATTTTCATCTAAACAATTATTAACTTTTATTTTACTTAAAAAAAATTTAAAATTTTAATTAATTAAATTTTGTGTAAATTGATTGGTCCTTTGATTTAGTCGATTTGGCTTAACTGTTTTAGGTTTAACTGATTCGTTGATTTGATTGCAATTTTAATGATTTTATCAAAATACATTGTTTAAATTTATTTGATTTGAAATAAACTTCTAACTTGAACAATTATTAGCTTTTAATTTACACAATCTGACAATGAGGAAAACAAATGATTGAGTGAACTGTTTTACTTATGTAAGATGAATTTTATGCTTTCAATTAATATTGTAATATTATTCATACTTCACTTTAGTACAATACAATTAAATTTTAAAAATTTCAATTAATTAATTTTGTGTGAGTTGATTAGTCTTCCAACTCGACCGGGTAGTCAAATCGGTTGTGATGTCACTAATTTACTAGTTGGATTATGATTTTTAATTGTCTAATCAAAATGCTAGCGATTAACCAATGCACTCCCAATAAAACAAAAACTTTAAACTATTTATAAGAAAGAAAAGTACTACTGAGTAATACCAATGCTATCAAAAAGAAAATAATAATAATATAATATAATGATACAAAATTCAAATATGCACATGAATTCGATCGTGTCTCTAATTATATTTAATGAATTAACTCAAATTCCACTTTACATTATATTTGCGTATTATATGGCTGATAATGATATGATGACTAGAAGTTCTACATGCAGCATGTGTTTGGATAACACCAATACCGAGAGTTTTACAATTCTTAATGAGAGGGTAATTTTTGAGAAAAATGGGGTCGAGCTGCGAGTTGGGCTTTGAGGCCCAAAAACGCGAAGGACTAAGTAAAAAGGCTGTAATGGATACTCCGGCCCAGGAGGGCAAGGTTACTCCGGCCTTGGGGAGACAAAGTTACTCCGGCCCAAGGAGGTGAAAATACTTCGGCTCACAAATGATAAAGTTACTTCGGTTAGAGGATTGTAAATGTACTTCGGTCTAGGAGCAACTAGAAGTTAGACCGGCCTTGAAGTATACCGGTTTGGGAGTTATACCGGTCGAGAGTCGTTGGTTCGGTCCAAGCACACCATGATGAGAAGCCGATATGAGGAACAGTAAAGGGGGGGCTGAATTAAGGATAGTTCGGTCCACTTTACTTCGGTCAAATGTTATTTCGGCCTACTCTGTGGCTCGGCATAGCCAATGTTACTTCGGTCAAATAGTAATTCGGCCATGTAGAAAACCATCCCACTTGGTTTAAGCAGTGGGGGAGGGTGTAAAAGGATAAGCATTATCCTTAGGAGTATGAATCCTGGGAGGACTCTGCATGGAGAAATACAAGTCCTACTAGGATTGTGCCATATGAAACTTATAAAAGCTCACAAGCATCACCTGGGAGGAGGTAATTGAACACAATCTTTTCTGAGAACATAGAGCTTTGTCTATTTGTCAAGTTTTCTGACTTAGGCATCGGAGAGGTTTCCGGCACACACCCGCCGGCTAGCTCACGTTTGTGTTTTCAGGTGACAAAGCGACGTCGTACGGAGAAGCGTGGACTTGGTCAACAGGATTATACGAGGAGAATTATTTCCTCCCCGTACAATTAATTCCGGCATTTCCGACCGGAGTGTTCATCCCTTTTTCAGGTAATGATCAAATGATCAGGGACGTCAGACTGAATTCAGGAGTATTTCCAAACCACCTCTCTACAATTGGTGCCATCTGTGGGAATACTCAAGTACGTTCATGGCAAGCATAACAGATGATCCTTCGCTCGTTGTTGACAATGTTACACCAAGAGATGATGTTACTCCAAGAAACATGCTTGGACCAGAGAATATCGCCGCAAGACGGGCCCTGAATTTCAACTCAGTAGCTCAAACCTCACCCTCAACCTCAATGCAGGAGACTATACAAACGATCATGGATCAACCGAAACGAAATAGTCAATTAGGCTAAACTATTTTTAGTTTGATTGATTTGTTGATTTAATCACAATTTAGTAGTTTTATCAAAATATATATTGGTTAGATTTGTTTGATTTAAAATAAAATCGCTATATTTGATAAAAGTTTCAAAATATATTTGATAAACTAAATTTAGGTCAAAAAAACCTAAATTTGAGTTAAGAGTCCTTTAATAATGGGTCATTCACTTGTTTATTATACATTTCTAAATATTTTTACACCGTATTCTGTGGGTGAACAGTGATTAACGTTTTCTTTTTAAAAATACCACTTCCCCACACACCAAACCCCACAACATTAAAAAAAGAAAAAAAAAACATTAGGAATAATACCAAAAAATTATGTAGGAATCAAAAGGAATATAACAAAAATCTATATTTTTTATATAAAAAGTTCATATTTATCCTCTAAAAAATCTACACTGGAAGATGGTCATATCATGACTGAAAATCTCGTAAAAGAGAAACCCTCGCGTCTCTGTCACTGGAAGTTACGTGTCTTAAAAAAATAAAAATTGAGTATATATACATTTTTTTTTTTTACTGTAGAATCTTCGCCATGAATCTATGACCATACTAATCAAACAACTCTAGCAAGGTTTGACTGTTGACCAAATCCGTGCCTTAATACATTTTACTTCTCTTTCTACTTTTATTTATTTATTTATTATTATTATTATTTTTATTTTTTTTATTTTTATTATTATTATTATTTTTGTTTACCATAATCATATTTACATATCATTTAATATATTATATATTAGAATTGTTTTCTGTAGCTTATATAGAATGTTAATAACTTATTTTATTTTGGAAGCCAATGTTATAGTATTTATGGCAGTTTTTATTATAATTTATAAAATTAAAATAGTTTAAATAAGTTTAAGAAAAAAAATTAATTATCTAACTGTTAATAAAATGAATATTTTTAACTTTTATTTTTTTAATTACTATATACGTCTATTATTACATTAATTTAAAAAAATCTCAACCACTAAAGTCTATTATTTACGAAGTGGTGACTTTTAAATGACAAATATTTTACAATATAATTTAATAGTTCTTGAATCCCACCAACAAGCTTATAAATAGAGCACAATATCCATTCTCATCACCACCTCCACAAAGCAACCATGGCTACTTCTTCTCTATTGCTAGCATGCTTGTTCTTCTTCTCTGTCATTCTTGGCCATGGTGTTCTCCAACTTGAAGCCTCTCATGCTGTTTATGCAAACCTTCAAACTCTTCAAAAACCAACTTCACCAAACCAAACTTACAGAACTTCTTATCACTTTCAACCTCCCAAGAATTGGATGAACGGTATTGTCTCCTCACAAACTATTCTTTTTTTGTAACTAGTTCTGTTACGAATACAAAAATCTATCACAAAACGAGACACTTTAAAAAAAAAATCTTTTCCATATCCACATACATTGTGTCTTGTTGCTCTATGATCGATTTCTGAATTCTTAAAATATTTTTTATTTGTTATTGTTATACACACTTTTAACGATCATCTCTCTCACATTCTCTACTGGTTTGATGATGTTGTTTGTGTCGATTGACTTGTTCTGGTTGTGGAATGGACAAATGGGTGCTTTGGATTTGCAGATCCCAATGGTGAGTCCTTTTAATTTGTCTATTTGTAGTTGTTTCCACGGTTATGTTGATATGAAATACGAACACATAAACCAGACACACGTGACATATGATTTATATAAATGGATAGGAGTTTTTAAATGGATTATAGTAACAACTTCTGTAAAAACTTGGCGGTTAAATCAATTTTAAATATTTTAATATATGTGCCTTTGTTATGCTACCGCTTACCCGGGCAGCACGAATTCCACCGACATGGGTTGCAGGAAATTTTATTCCTTTTTCTTTTTTTTATTTAGATTGGGGTTTTTTTTTTTCTTTTTCTTTTTTAACCTCGTCTTTTTGTTAACTTGTTGTAGGACCAATGATATACAAAGGGATTTACCATCTATTCTATCAGTACAACCCCAACGGTGCAGATTGGGGTAGCATAGTATGGGCTCATTCAACATCACTAGATCTTGTCAATTGGACACCCCACCCTCCCGCCATCTCCCCATCTCAGCAAGCCGGTGACATCAACGGTTGTTGGTCGGGTTCTGCCACCATCCTCCCCGGGGACAAACCGGCCATGCTCTACACTGGAATCAACCCACAAAGCCACCAAGTCCAAAACCTAGCCGTGCCCAAAAACCTCTCTGACCCATTCCTCATAGAATGGGTCAAGTCGCCAAAAAATCCACTAATGGCACCTACCACTTCTAATGAAATCAATTCAAGCTCGTTCAGAGACCCCACCACGGCGTGGTTAGGCCCCGATGGGACATGGAGAGTGATCATTGGAAGCAAAATTAATCGCCAAGGACTAGCAATTCTATACAAAAGCAAGGATTTTGTGCACTGGATTCAATCTCAACAACCTCTTCATTTTGCCGATGACACTGGAATGTGGGAATGTCCTGATTTTTTCCCAATTTCGACTAATAGTCAAAATGCTTTGGACACATCTATGGTTGGATCAGGAATTAAACATGTGCTCAAGTTGAGTTTAGATGATACCAAACATGATTACTACACTATAGGAACATACAACTTGAATAAAGATATCTATATCCCAGATAAAGGATCTGTAGATGGCGATTCGGGATTAAGATATGATTATGGAAAGTTCTATGCTTCAAAAACGTTCTTTGACAGTGTTAAGCAACGAAGGATCTTGTGGGGTTGGATTAACGAATCTATGCCTCAACCTGAATACATCAAACAAGGGTGGTCTGGAGTTCAGGTAATTTTTACATTACGAGAATTATTATATAGAAAAATCATAATATTTTACTGACATTTCTGCCCCTTACATGGCTTCTTCTTGTATTCATTACTTTTAAATGATTCCAAATAAGAAATAGTTTTTTATTTTGATTTTTTATATGTACTTTTTGAAGGCAATTCCAAGGAACATTTGGCTAGATAAATCAAGAAAGCAATTGGTGCAATGGCCCATTTCAGAGATTGAAACACTACGCACGAACCAAGTAGACTTGCCTAGCAAACTCCTCAAGGGCAGATCAATGCTTGAAATTTCATCTATCACAGCAGCACAAGTGAGTTTCTTCTTTTGCTCCATATAGCATTATTCTATATATATATATGAATAAATACTGGATTCAACATGTTATCAATGGCTATTAAAAAGTTCTAGACAATGTGCAATAGAACTGATCTTATCTCTCATTTAAGAGCAACTTCAAAATTTGACAATAAGTTTTTCAAATTCATCTTCAATGGTGTGTTATTTCCAATGGCACAAAGTTTGGCAAAATATTAGAATTTGACATAACTTTTTTCTCTATCTTTCTCATGATGGGATTCAAAAATAACATTTATATTTAAATTTTATGTAGAAAATAAAATAATATAAACGTTTACATTACTGAAACAACATTGTTAAATTATGATCTTTTGACGGTGTAACTAGGTAAAAATTGATTTTGACATTTTCATTTGGACACCATCCATACATTAGAGATGCTATATCAGTTAATTGGTCTACACTGTGCATTACATTAGTCCATGTAGCCAGCGATAGAGTAAACCTTTTTTCTTTTTCTTTTTTTTTGAACAACCGACATGACTCGAACTTAGCAAAATAATAATAATAATGATGTAATAAAAAGGAGAAGAACAAGGGTAGTTCATTTATGCTATACTATTATAATTATATGCTAAATTATATTTTTTTTCTCATTTTCTTTACTATACTTTTTTTTTACAGGCAGATGTGGAGATATCATTTTCAGTACTAGAAATTGAAAAGGCAGAAGTGATGGATCCAAGTTGGACCAACCCACAATTGTTATGCAGCCAAAAGGATGCATCAATTAAAGGTGGGCTTGGACCATTTGGATTAAAGGTGTTGGCTTCAAAGGATTTGAAAGAACATACATCTGTGTTTTTTAGAATTTTCAAAGCTCAAAACAATAAGCATGTGGTGCTTATGTGTAGTGATCAGAGCAGGTTTCTCTCTCCTCTTTTTGTCAATGATTTTCTATTATTAAATTCTTATGTTCTCTGTTTTAATATACTTTCTCAATTATTAATTTAGATAAGAATATCGACATATATATCATTTAATATTTGAGAGTGTATTAAAATAGAAAGATAATAATTTGGAAACACATAATTTTGTGTTCTTTCTCTATGTCCCTCCTCTTGCCTCTCTTACCTAATCTAATTTTAGAGATGTTAACATTTTTATTGAATAATTGACAGGTCTTCGCTAAATCAAAACACTGATAAGACAACTTATGGAGTATTTTTGGAAGTAGACCCTATCCATGAGCAATTGTCATTGAGGAGCTTGGTAAGTGTTGTGTGTATTTTTTTTTTTTTCCCTTTTTTTTTTTTTTTAACAAAAGCCAAAAAAAAAAACTTTGGAATTTTTTTTTTTTTTTTTTTTTTTTTTTTTTTTTTAATTTTCATTTTGTCATTGGATTAATGTAGTAAATCTGCTAGATATGCCTTTAAGTAATGCATACCAATATAGATGCCTCTTGTTTGGGCATCTCCTTCGGTGATGCTTGACTTTTGCTTACCCACTGGGTGCTCTCATGTCATATAGTTTCTTTATCAATATATGGCCTTTTGCTGCTAAAAAAAAAAAAATAGTAATGCATACCAAGTTGAACAAGAAAAAAAGAAAGTTTAAAAGTGATATTTTTGAGACTAAAAAATATAAATTATTTATTAGTGATATTTTCAAAATTATCGCTAAAAGCTTTGTTTTTAATTTTTCGAAATGATTTTTTAGCGATTATTCTCACAATGATAAAAATTGATCTCTAAATATTTTTTGTAATAAAATTTTTACTTTTAAAAACTAAAATATTTAATTTCTAAAATTCTTCTACATTATAGTGTCTAATTTATTCACAATCTCCCTAACTTAATAGAGCATATTGGCTAGTGATAGGTTGAGTCATGATTAGACATTCACACGCAACAATCCCAATCAACATTGAACAACACATGATGTGTTGGGTTGAGCCCCAACTTCATATACTTGAGCACGCAATTAATCAAAATTCCTCCAATTTTTTTTCATCGATTGCACCATTTTGGCTTATATATGTTTTGAGAGCTGAGCTTTTTTTTTTTTCGGGTGAATACTTGAGAGCTGAGCTTTGTTTTGTTTTGTTTTGTTTTTTCGCAGATAGATCAGTCAATAGTGGAGAGCTTTGGTGGAGAAGGAAAGGCTTGCATAACTGCTAGGGTTTACCCAACATTGGCTATTGGTGGAAAGGCCCATTTATATGCTTTCAATAATGGAAGAGGGAGTGTAAGAATATCAAAATTGAGTGCTTGGAGCATGAAGAGAGCTCACATCTATTGAAACAAAAATGAAATTGATTCTAGATTTTGGTTTCCATGGAACTCTTTTTAAATATGCTTATATTCTTTCATCTTGTACAAGTATTTTTTTCAGATGCCTCTGTCGAAAGTTGCCATTAAATCCTCTTTACGTTAAAGATTTTAGAAAATAATAAAAACAATCTTTAGGGTTGTTGTTGTGAAAAAAGCTTTCTTCTCCACAGTCCTAGCTAGGTGTAGAAGGAAGAATGTTGAAAATATGGGTTCAAGAATGGCTGTCATAGAGGTTGAAGAATTCAAATGGAAATTGGCTTGTATTTGAATTTAATGTTTTTACATTGTCAAGTTCAAGAATTCAAATGGAAATCGGCTAGTTGTTTTTACATTGTATTTGCATCTAATGTCTTGACAATGTAATTTTTTTGCTGAGAGAGAGAGAGAGAGAGAGAGAGAGAGAGAGTGAGAGTTTGAGAGAGAAAGCCTACGTTTAGTTTAATTTTTAAAATATGATTTCGATTAAAAAATAAAAAAAATTGTTTGGTTAACAAATTTTTAAAATACAATTTCAAAATCAATTTTCTCTCTCCTCTCTCTCTTTTTTTATATATACTAGTGGGTGGCACACACGATGTGTGTGCAATTTAAATAAGTAGGAATAAAAAAAAATAATAATGAAATTAATATTATAATGTGTATTTAGCTTAAGTGGTATGAGTCCTCGTACTTAAACCCATGGTCATGGTTCAAGCCTTGCCCATCTCTTTGTTTACCTTTTTTTTTAAAAATAAAAAAAACTGTCACATGGCATGAGGAGAGTAAAGCTTCAGGACACCAAAGTTCCTGTTCACTTTATAATAGTATAGATATAGATATTATTAATAAATCAATCAATCTCTTTTTCTCTCTCCTCTCCCCTCTCCCCACTCTCATATTCTACACATTAATCAATCAAATTTTCTCTCGCACTCGTCTATTCAACTAAAAAGAAAATTTAAAAAAATTACAAATCATCTCAAAATTATTTTAAAAAATTATAACCAAATAAGTTTTCAACTTTTAAACTGTTTTTAACAACTTATCTTTCAAAATGCAATTCAAAACTCAAAAGTCATTTTAAAAACTAAACCAAAGGGAAAGGAAGCTTCCAAAAATCTCTCTTAAGTTTTTGTGCTTTAGAATTTTATTTGAGTGAAATAAAAGTACATTTTTCTCATTGAAATCCTCTCTCTGAATTTGTTTATATATAAATGCGCCTTCTTTAAGACATTCTACATATTTGCAGCAAATAAATAAATAAAACTACTGAATTTGTTTATAAATAAATGCGCCTTCTTTATGACATTCTACATATTTGCGGCAAATAAGTAAATCAAACTACATAACAATGTATTTGGTAATAAGTTCAACTTTATAGTCTTAAAAGTTGACTTATACGTGATACTATTAGATTTATAGATAGTCAAAATTACTTTATTTGATTGATTTTGTGATTAATTATGTGTCAAACTTATTGCAACAACATTGTAGGTACAATTAGGCCTCCATGATGTGGCAACAACATTGTGGGTACAATTAAGACCTCCATGATGTGTTGGCATGCAAATTTACTTTACCCTACATGGCTTGTTCATCATTTTTGGCACATCTTAAATGCATGCATGTAATATAAGGTACAATTATTATCTGAAGATAACAGTGGGATCTTTTGGAGCATGGAAAAATATGACTGCAAAGAAACTAGTGGGTTCGGCCCAACTCAACTTGTGGGATCCAATTCAGTTTGATTTGGTTTGTTAAGTAAATAAATAAATTTAATTTAAACTTTTAAGTTTATCTAATAAATAAATTGAATTCGAGTTGAAATAAACTCGATCCATAAAGCTTGATTCATTTATTGTCATTTACATAATAAAAATATATATTATTTATATATCAATAATATAGAAATATGTATAAAAAAATAGAACAAATATATTATTTATATATTTAAATCATGTAAACTATACCAAAAAAATTTCATTACCAAGTTTCGAATTGAGCTTGAGCAGGATTAGTTAATAAGCCAATAGCTCAAACTTGATTTTCGAACTTGATAAATAGATAAACCCTGCGAACCTCAACGCAGTTGGATTCGTTTGTGACCACTGGAAAAGCTTAAATCAAGTTAAACAAGTCCATATTGATAGATCAAGTTGAGCTGGGTTAATAATAAATAATTTTGAATAAAGATAATTAAATATTTTTACATTTAAATTATTCATTCACTAGTAGTTGACTCATGCGATATACAGAATAAATAAAAAAATGTATTCAATCTTAACTTATTTACTTTCGAGCAAATATCAAATGAATTTAATCGAAACAAAAATGAAACAAGTAACTTGGCTTTTTACAATACAATACAAGCTTTTGAAGTAGAGTAGTAGCTTATTGATAACTGATTTGAAAATTTAAGGAATTTTAAATTATGTTCGAATTTATTAATTTATTTACTTAACAAACTAATAATAAATAAATTTTAAACAAATCGAATACGAATTGAACCCGAGTAACTTGATTGATTTTGCAAGGTTAATGACAACCCCTTTGACAGTCACTTATATGAAAATTTGTCGTCGTGGTTCGCTATAAAAGATGACCGGAGAAGCTTGGAGGATAAGGTTTTGTTTGTCAACTTCTCACAGACGGCGCCAATTGTACGGGGAGTTGAAATTCGCTGAAGCCCGTACTCCTTGCATCCAAGCTCTGCTTCTATCCGATTAACCTGCGAACACAACGGCGGTGAGCTACCCCGCGGTGTGTTGCCGCAAAACTCCTTCGACGGTTAAGTTAGCATACACTCAGAGTGAGAGAGAGACAGAGAGAGAGAGAGAGGAGCTGGATGAAGGTTAAAGTTTTTCTCACCAACTGATGTTCCATCCATAGCATGGGGGCGTTGTCATGCTTATATACTTTCTGCGTTCACCTCTGCACCCATTCGTCTATTGACACGTGGAGCTGCTCACCCATCTGTTAGCACAAATCCAGCTAAACACTACCTAATCAAACCGCCGGACGACATTAGCGGGAACGGGCAGCTCGACGACATCACCTCGGCCTCATACGACCGTGCTACGTAACGAGTCCAACAGCGCCACTCGCCAAGCTCCATCATGACCGAGCTTAGCAACCCCCCGTAATGATTGAGCGCTTGCTCGGTTGGCTGGTCCGCGGAGGATCATGCACGCCGATCTCAACGAGCAAACAACGCGAACCAGGCTAGTAGAGAAGTTATCCCGGCCAAATCGGAACTAGGCTTTAACCGAGCGCACTGCACTTGGATTGTCTCAGCTTAGCTCGGCCCAAACATGCTCGGACCAATTTTAGCCTGATCATTACCACGGCCCAAAGCCAGATTATGAAATCTCCCTCACAATTGCCCCTTAATTTTGTTCGCATTTGCGTGACCGGAATTACATTACAAGGTCGGGCTAGACTTTTTGCTCGGTGGTTCACTTTGCTCGGTCTAGAAACCTCAAAGTTGGCAAACAAAGTCATCTCGTTAACTCGCTTCTTGGCGAGTAAAATCAGCTCAGCAACTTCTTGAGAGAACAAAATCAACTTGGCAAGGACCTTCAAAGTTAACGAGTAAAGCCAGCTCAGCAACTTGATTCTTAGCGAGCAAGATCAGCTCGGCAAGAAACTCCAAGGTCAGCGAGTAAGGTCAGTTCGATGACTTTCTTCTTGACGAGCAACATTAGCTTGGCAAGAAACTCCAAGGTCGGCGAGCAAGGTCCGCTCCGCGACTTGCTTCTAAGCGAGCAAGATCAGCTCGGCTAGGAACTCCAAGGTTGGCGGGTAAGGTCCGCTCAGTGACTTGCTTCTTGGCGAGCAAGATTAACTCGGCAAGGAACTCCATGGTCGACGAGCACGGTTCGCTCGACGACTTACTTCTTGGCGAGCAAGATCAGCTCAGCAAGGAACTCCAAGGTTGGCGAGCAAGGTCAGCTCGGCGACTTTCTTCTTGGCGTCCAAGATCAGCTCGGCAAGGAACTTCAAGGTCAACGAGCAAGGTCCGCTCGGCGACTTGTTTCTTATCGAGCAAGATCAGCTCGGCAAATAACTCCAAGGTCGGCGAGCAAGGTCAGCTCAGCGACTTTCTTCTTGACGAGCAAGATCAGCTCGGCAAGGAACTCCAAGGTCGGCGAGCAAGGTCAGTTCGGCGACTTGCTTCTTGGCGAGCAAGATCAGCTAGGCAAGGAACTCCAAGGTCGGCGAGCAAGGTCAGCTCCGTGACTTGCTTCTTGGCAAGCAAGATCAGCTCGGCAAGGAACTCTAAAGTCAGCGAGCAAGGTCAGCTCGAAAACTTTCTTTTTGGTGAGCAAGATCAGTTCAGCAAGGAACTCCAAGGTCGGCGAGCAAGGTCAGCTCAGTGACTTGCTTCTTGGCAAGCAAGATCAGCTCAGCAAAGAACTCAAAGGTCGGCGGGCAAGGTTCGCTCGGCGAATTGTTTCTTGGCGAGCAAGATCAACTTGGCAAGGAACTCCATGGTCGACGAGCAAGGTCCGCTCGGCGACTTCCTTCTTAGAGAGCAAGATCAGCTTGGCAAGGAACTCAAAGGTTGACGGGCAAGGTCCGCTCCGCAACTTGCTTCTTAGCGAGCAAGATCAGCCCGACAAGGAACTCTAAGGTCGGCGAGCAAGGTCAGTTTGGCGACTTTCTTCTTGGCGAGCAAGATCAGCTCGGTAATGAACTCCAAGGTCGGCAAGCAAGGTCAGCTCAGTGACTTGCTTCTTGGCGAGTAAGATTAGCTCGACAAAAAACTCAAAGGTCGGCGAGTAAGGTCCACTCGGCGACTTACTTCTTGACGAGCAAGATTAGCTCGGTAAGGAACTCCAAGGTCGGCGAGCAAGGTCAGCTCAGCGACTTTTTTCTTGGCGAGCAAGACTAGCTCGGCAAGGAACTCCAAGGTCGGCGAGCAAGGTCAGCTCAACAACTTTCTTCTTGGCGAGCAAGATTAGCTCGGCAAGGAACTCCAAGGTCGCGAGCAAGGTCTGCTCGGTGACTTGCTTTTTGGCGAGCAAGATCAGCTCGGCAAGGAACTCCATGGTCAACGAGTAAGGTCAGTTCAGCGACTTTCTTCTTGGCGAGCAAGATCAGCTCGGCAAGCAACTCCAAGGTCGCGAGCAAGGTCTGCTCGGCGACTTGCTTATTGGCGAGCAAGATCAACTCGGCAAGGAATTCTAAAGTTGATTAAAACCATCAACAAATCTCTTGTCGAGTAAAATTCATCCGACAAGGAATTCCAGAGTTGATAAAATTATCAACAAATCTCTTGCCGAGCAAAATCCGTCCGGCAAAGAATTCCAAAGTTGATCAAAATCATCAACAAATCTCTTGCCGA